TCTTTCAGTCAAACACCATAGAACATTGACTCCCATTTCATTTATAACTTTAAAGGCTGAATGCGGGGTAGAGGGTTGTCTAAACTTCCACTATCCCCAAGTTGTAACAAAACACCCCAAACCTCTACCAGAGTGGAATCAGAGAAGGCCAAATAAGAAGCCAGAACTTTCATTTCTGCCAGATGAAAATACAAACAAACAAAAATCCCTGAAAAGACACAGTTATTAACAGTTGATATTTACTATCTACAATGAATTTTTAAGTAATATAGGAAAAAAAAATCAGAGTTCTTGCATTTTTCTACTATTCTAAGCTAGGAGACAGCATGGTTCAGTAAAAGAGAGGTTTCTAGAGTCTAATGGATGCATCATTAATTTCAGAATTTTCCACATACTAATAGGGAGCAAATTACTGAATCTCATTCAGCCTCAGATTCTTCAACTCCAAAGTGAGAAAAATAAGCCCCACATCCAGGGCTGTTGGAAGAATTAAAGGAAAATAGTCGATGCAAACACCTGACAAAAAAATGAGGCCCTCAATAGTTCCCAAATGCCTCCCTCACCGACTCCTGGAAGTAGGGTAAGTCACAACATCAGCTGGGTAGGATGCCAACCTGACAGGGTCTAGAAATGGACTCTGGTCCACAGTGGGTGCAGGTAAACCCAATCTCTAGGTGGGCAGCCGATTTCAAGTCTGCTACAGGGCAGTCCTTAAAGTCAATCCTTGGTTGGTCCCCAGAGTCTCTGAAATATTCTCATTCAAAGAGGTACAAGGATAGATATCCTGAGATCTTACAGAGTAAACTAAACCCAGCTGGTCTAAGAAAACTAGTCAAGTATATCTGTCTTGATTAATTATTACTGTATTTGGCTAAGTCTGCCCTAGGTAGGACCCATTCCTCGGTTTGAGCCTGGAAGTCAGTTTTGACTTTGAACCAGTAGGTCTGAAGTTTGGTACTTTGCATCATAATAAAATGGATTCCCAGTTTAGTCCAGCCCTCTTGGAGTGACTGCTGCCTTAAAAACTTCTCATCAAGTAAACATAACTTTTCTAAAGCGGGCCTTTGAAAAAAGCTTCTGATCTCAATATTACTTATTTGTTTATTTATTCATTTTTAATATTTTTAGTTGCATATGGACACAATTGTTGGGAGCTGCCACATAGGAACTGAGCACTTCTTAGCTTTGAGCGATGAGAGTGTGGAAATGTGGCAAACCAGCCATGGGCTCTGTGTTGTGTGTGTGTGTGTGTGTGAACTATAAACATTGAGCGTACAGGGTGGACTGAAACCACATGGTCCCTCTGTTTGAGAGGCGACACCTATGATCCCTGCATAGCACGAGATGGGCATAGTCTTGATGACAGCAAGACATCAGGCAGCTAGACTTAATCCCCTGAAACCTGACCCCTTGCCTCATTTGAATGGCTTCTCCCCAATAAAAGGGTTCAGCTGACATTCCTCTCTCTTTTCTTGCCTGCCTTGACCCCCTTGTGGGAGCTGCAGCTGAGAAGCGGTCACTAAACCCAAAGAAAAGGTAGATTCTGTGTCTGTGTCTTTATTTATTCCCCAAATTCACTTAGAGTGACCCTGACGGGTCTAGTCATGTAACGCAACACAAAATACCTTTATTTTGTTTATTTATTTTTATGTGGTGCTGAGGATCAAACCCAGTGCCTCACACATGCTAGGCAAGTGCTCTGTCACTAAGCCACAAATCCAGCCCCACTCAATATTGTTTATTATGAAATAACCCTACCTCATGAGTAGCTCAAGAGGCAACAAAACAGAATTTTTCTTAAGTATGATAAAGTTGGAAGGAGAAGAAAACAAGAAATACCACTGCAGAATGTAGAACAAAGACAGGATTGTGGAAACCTACAAATCTCAGGCTGAAAGCTTCTCTATATAGCTGTGCCTACAGCTGCTGGGATTTAGGTGGGTTGAAGCAACCACAGCAAGTTGCCAAAGGCTCCTGGATTTTCTTAAACACTTGCACCTTTCCCTCTTTACCCACAGGAAAGGTTTCCCCCAAGTTCCTTGGTCTCTCTACTGCTTGCATTCCTGAGACTTCACAAAGAGGAGGAGCTGGGTACAGTTCACCGACTTCTCACACAGCCACCTTGGTGCAGACTATGGTTTTTCAGAGGATAAGGCTGTCTCTAAGGCATAGCCCCAGAATGACAAAGATCTGAACAAAGTC